TCTAGAACTTCAAAAAACTATCCGCAAGATGGTGAATGCACAGGAACTTGAGGCTCGGAGGCAATGATTGGGACTTGAAGCTGAGACCGCTGCAAGATGTGCTCAACAATGTGCTATGAACAACCCGCCTAGGGTTGTAGAAGAACACGAAGGAGTGGAAGAGATAGCTCCTCTCCACCGACAACCACTAGCTCCAAAGGGTCGAGCATAACAACCGGCTCACAGAGTGTTCAAAGAGGATGACTTACACTAGGATAGAGCTGGAGCCATCAGAGCTATAGTGCTGCCTGCATTACCTCCAGGTGTGAAATTCACAATCACTATCACGATGATTCAATTGCTAAACTTGAAGGGAATGTTCAGAGGGACAGCTGGTGATAATGCTCATCAACCTGTAATGAACTTCGTAGTGATCTGCAAATCACAGGAAATTCCTGTGGTAAGTCAAACTTCTATGAGACTGAGGTTATTCCCGTTGTCTCTTACTGTAGAGGAGATAAACTGATTGAATGAGATGGCAGATGACGCTATCACGACTTGGAATGAGTTAAAGAAAGCCATCCTAGAACAATTCTATCTTGAGTCACAAGAAATGCAGATGAAGGATGAGATAAGCACACACAAACAACAACTAGGGGAAGCAATGCATGATACTTGGTGGACATTCAACCAAAAGCTGAATAAGTGCCTGAACCATGGTCTTACAGAAAGACATTTAAAATAAGCATTCTATAGATCATTAAATTATGTTACTAAGCCTGTTGTTGATGCAGTGTGTGGAGGTTTCTTCATGAAAAAACCATTTCCAGAGATAATGCAAATCATGGATGAAGTCTCCAAGGACAATAAAGCATGGCACACCAGAGATGCTAAAGTTGGAGATCTGGGGTTCACATTCGAGATTTCAGCTTAACAAAAGAAGAGAGAAGAAGAAAGGGATCAGGACATGGCCCATAAGAGGACTCAAATGGATCTACTCACGAAGCATATCATAGCAGGTCCTGAGAAGGTAAATGTTGTAAGAGCCTCAAATAGGTATGAAGATCAGGATATTGAATTAGATGAGGAGGCCAAACACTTGGGAAATCAAGGAGGTTTACAAAAATATAACTCAGGAAACCAAGGATATAATTCTCGAAATACAGGCCGGAACTACTCCAGAGAAGGTCGGTATGACAGGCCAACAAATAGAGAACAAGGCAACTAGCAAAACAGAGATGGTTACAGGAATGACCGCAGTGGTGTTTATGTGCCCCAGGTAATAGACATCGTACAAGTGGTAGTGCCAGCGGGTCCAAACTAGAAGATATATTGGCAAAGGTGTTGCAAAAGATTGAATCAACTAATGCAGTTGTGAAAGAAATGAAGGGTGACTTCTCTTGTATGAGTCAACTGGTGGATTCTCACACCATTTCCATCAAGCAGATAGAGAAACAGTTGGGACACCTATCAGCATCACTGAACCAGAGGAAGAATGGTGCACTACCAAGTGACTCTATTTAGAATCCCAAGAAAGATGGATACTGCATGGCTATCACCACCAGAAGTGGTAAAATTCTAAATGAGCCAATATCTACAGGTACTGAGCAGGAATAGGGCATGGACGGAAATAAAGAAGAAGAGGTTGAAGCTAAACATGTAGATGATATAGAAGAGGCTCAACCAACAGTAAAATAATCAGGGGTGAAAGAAAAAGAAGTTGAGGAAACTTTGCCTTTGTAGGAGATACCAAGACTACCTCTACCGTTCCCTCACAGACTCAAGAAGAAGTCTTAGGATGGTAAGTTTGCAAAGTTCATAATTATGTTGAGGCAGCTATCAGTGAACATCCCATTGGTGGAAGCTTTGGAGCAGATGCCAGGATATACTAAATTTATGAAGGACTTAGTCACAAAGAAAAGAGCTGTAAGTTTTGAATTAAATGACAAGATTCATCATTGTAGTGTTATTTCTACAATATCTCTGGTGCAGAAAAAAAGAGGATCCAGGTGCATTCACTATACCTTGCACCACCGGATCATTTGAGTTTGCAAAGGCCATGTGTGATTTAGGGGCAAGTATAAATCTGATGCCGTTAGTTATTTACAAGAAATTGGGATTGGGGATTCCAAATCTCACTGCGATGAGGTTGATGATGGCAGATAAGTCAGTAAAGTGGCCTGTGGGTATCTTATTTGATGTGCTTGTAAAAGTGGACAGTTTCATTTTTCTGGCAGACTTAGTGATTCTGGATTGCGAAGTGGACTTTGAGGTTCCCATCATTTTGGGGAGGCCATTTATGGCTATAGGTCTAGCTTTGGTTGATGTTGAGAGTGGAGAGATAAAATTCAGGCTCAACAATGAGGAGGTGAAGTTTAAGATATGCAGGTCTATGAAGCAACCATAAGACATAAATGTGGTGTATGCAATAGGGTCTTTGACAAAGAGGAGCCAAGAGTTGCTATTGGGGAGAGGTTTGATGTTGAAACATTGGCAGTTGTGCTAATGAACTTTGAAGAATACATACAGAATGACTACGTGGAGACTCTGAATGCTCTGCAAGGCATGGGATCACATTTTTATGCTCCAAAGAAATTAGACATGGATATGAAAAATAGGCCAAATCCTCCAACAAAGCCATCCATTGAGGAGCCGCATGTACTTGAACTGAAACAACTACCTAGTCACCTAAGGTATATCTTTTTGGGTGCTAACAATACTTTGCCAGTCATTTTGGCTGCAGATTTGAATGATGAACAAGTGCAAGCGTGATCAGAGTTTTGATAAAGTACAAACGGGTAATTGGGTGAACCATTGCTGACATCATTGGGATACCTCCAGGTATCTGCACTCATAAGATCTAACTTGAGGAGGACTGCAGCTCGAGCATAGAGCACCATAGGAGGTTAAATCCACCAATGCAAGAGGTGGTCAAAAAAGGAGATCATAAAGTGGTTGGATGCAGGGGGTGGTGTACCCCATTTCTGACAGTTATTGGGTTAGTCTAGTGTAGTGTGTGCCCAAGAAATGTGGTATGATAGTGGTGGCCAATGCAAAGAACGAGTTGATTCCCCAAAGACCAGTCACTAGTTAGCGAGTTTGCATGGATTACAGGAAGCTTAACAAGTGGAACTTGAAGAATCACTTCCCAATGTCGTTCATGGATCAGATGCTAGACATGCGAGTTGGAAAAGGGTGGTACTGTTTCTTAGATGGATACTCTTGGTATAACCAAATATCAATTAATCCAGAAGATCATGAGAAGACCACATTTACATGTCCTTATGACACCTTTGCATTCAAAGGCATGCCATTTGGATTATGTAATGCATCATCAACTTTCCAAAGGTGTATGATGTCCATCTTCTCGGACATGGTAGAGGACAATTTGGAAGTGTTCATGGATGATTTCTCTGTGGTAGGTGACATATTTGATGACTGTTTGTTGAATCTTAGCAGTGCTTTACAGAGATGTGAGGAGGCTAATTTAGTGTTTAACTGGGAGAAATGCCATTTCATGGTAAAGGAAGGTGTAGTCCTCTATCACAAGGTGTCGCAGAAGGAACTGGAGGTAGATAAAGCAAATTAAGGTGATTGAAAATTTGCCTCCACCTATTTGTGTGGAAAGGTATTCGATTATTTTTAGGGAAAAAAGGATTTTATAGGTGATTCATCAAGGATTTCTCAAAAATTGCACATCCATTGTGCAAACTTTTGGAGAAATAGGTGAAATTTGCCTTTGATGATGAATGCCTAAAAGCCTTTGAGTGCCTGAAAGAGAAGCTGATCTCTGCTCCAGTGATCATTGGCCTAGATTGGACAGAACCATTTGAGGTGATGTGTGATGCCAGTGGTACTGCCTTTGGACTTGTGTTGGGGGCAGAAGCGCAACAAGATCTTCTACCCGATCTACTATGCCAGCAAATCGCTAAACATAGCACAACGTAACTACACTGTTATTGAACATGAATTACTGGCTGTGGTATATGCTTTTGAGAAATTTAGGGCATACTTGCTGGGCACTAGAGTGATAGTCCACACAGATCATGCAGCACTGCGATATCTCATGGAAATTAAAGATGCAAAGCCAAGATTGATCAGATGGGTGCTGCTGCTTCAAGAATTTGACTACGAAGTCAAAGACATAAGGGGTTGTGAAAAGCAGGTGGCTAATCACCTGTCTAGACATGAGGCAAAAAAGAAGGAGGAATTTGAGTTATACATAAATGACTCATTCATAGATGAGCAGGTATTATCCGCCACTCTTGATCTCATTCCTTGGTTTGCTGACTTTGCTAACTTTCTTGTCAGCGATTTGATGCCTGAAGGGCTAACATTCCAGCAAAGGAAGAAATTCCTACATGTCTGTACAAGGTGTGTACTGATAACATCATCAGGCGATGTATCCCTGAGGCTGAGATGCTGCATATCTTAGAAGTTTGTCACTCCTCTCTAGTAGGTGGTCATCATGGAGGTACTCGGACATCCCACAAGGTACTTTAGAGTGGGTACTACTGGCCTACAATCCATCAGGACTCAATTGATCTAGTCAAGGGGTGTGATGTGTGCCAGAAGCAAGGAATTATCTCTTGTCGGCATGAATTGCCAATGACATACATTTTGGAGGTGGAACTGTTTGATGTGTGGGGAGTTGACTTCATGGGACCATTTGTGAGCTCCTGCGGGCATAAATACATATTGGTGGCTGTGGACTATGTGTCCAAATGGGTTGAGGCAGTGGCTCTGCCTGGAAATGATGGTAAAAACATCGCTGGTTTTCTAAAGAAGAACATATTCTCAAGGTTTGGTACACCTAGAGCAATTATTAGTGATGGAGGCTCCAATTTCCACAACACAAGGTGGAAACACCATATCATCCACAGACAAGTGGCCAAGTGGAGGTATCGAATCGGGAGATCAAGGTGATTTTGGCAAAGACAGTGAATGCCAACAGGACAAATTGGGCAAGAAAGTTGTATGATGATCTATGATATTAGAAAGCTTTCAAGACACCTATTGGAATGTCTCCATATCATTTGGTGTTTGGAAAGGCATGTCATTTGTCTGTTGAGCTGGAGCACAAGGGACTAAAGAAGTTGAACCTCAGTTGGAGTGAAACAGCAAACCTGAGACTGGATCAGATTAATGAAATGTATGAAATTCGTCTGAGGGCTTATGAGAGGTTGACTCTGTAAAAGGAAAGGATGAAGCGGTATCATGACAAGCATTGTGAGAAAAGGACCTTCAGTCCTGGTGACTTGGTGCTGATTTTAGACTCTAGACTCGTTTGTTTCTTGGGAAACTAAGATCTAAATGGTCTGGGCCATTCAAGGTCACTCAGGTATTTCAGTCAGGTGCTATTGAGCTTGAAAATGACAAGGGCGAGAGGTTCAAAGCTAATGGTCAGCGAATCAAAGCATACCTGGGAGTCCTAGAGGAAGTGAAAACAGTGGAGGAATGCAAACTTGATAAAATCTGAGTAATCAATAACCTTCGTCGCGCCGTGACGTTAATTTGTGCGTTACTTGGGAGGCAACCCATGATTGTAAATGTAATAGGTAGTTTATATTTTAGTATATTTTCATTGTTTTTATAGTGTCACTGTGTATTGGTGTGTGCAGGAAAATGTTGGAGAAAAGAGCTAAAAAGATGAGAGTTGGAAGACTCCATGGGCTTCACCACAGACCGTGGTGCTCTTCACGGGTAACTTCATGGTCCGTCTCAATCTTCAGCAGCCTTAGGGGAGCTACTGGAAATTACAACAACATGTTCACGGAAGGGCTTACGGTTCGTCAGGCTTTGTACGGACCATTTAGCCTTTCGTGAACCTCAAGTTAATTTCCTCACCCAAGTAATGTTCACAGACATTCTCATAGACCATGGTTCCCATCACGAGCACCATCACGGTCTATCACAATAATCCACCAGTGCTCAATTGACCCGACCCGACCCGCACAAAGTAAAGTTATTTTAAACGTTTTATATATCTCCTAAAGAGCCAAAAGTTGGGTTTTCTCTCTTCTTTCCCATTTTTAACGATCTATAGCACTATTAAACGGTTACTCATCTACCATAACCCCTAAATCAATCACAAATTTGAAACCCTAATGCTCTATTGTCAAGAAATCGAAGTGAAGTTCATCTTTTATCTTTTGGGTGAAAATTTTGACCTAATTCGAAGTAAGTTCCTCTCAATACTTGTTATAAGTTTTATCTTATCGATAAACAAGTTAGAACTACTATTATTTGGTCAAATTTTAGCATTATTTTGTGATGGATTATCATTGATGGTACTTAATTGTTGTGGGTTTGTTGAAATTGGGTCGAATTGGTAGTTTTCATGTATGGGTATGATTTATTTGTGTGGGAATAGTATGTATAATGATCTAAGTGTGAATTTGAGTTCAAGTTGCATAAGCCAAGTATGCCCATGTTAGTTTTGCCGGTAAACTATGGTAAAGTTGAGAAAATATAAGTGTTTGTATGTGGGTATGTGCGTATTAGGCAAATATTGCTCTTATGGGAATAATGTTGGGTGAGAGTCAATAGATTAGTAGTATATATGTGCTAAAATATCTCGTAAAAGTGTGATTGTGTGCTAAAATGGTTGAAATCTGACATAGTGTGCATTTGGGAGAAAAGGTCACTGTTGAAGTTGCTAAGTGTAATTCCACGATGGGCTTCACAGACCGTGGAAGGAACCACGGGCCATGGAGCCACTTGTGGTCCATACTTAGTAAATGAAAGGAGTTACTGGCTAAGTTCACGAGGGCTCCCACATACCGTGGTTCACTTCACGGACCATGAAGTCCTCTGTGAACCATAACCAGTGCAGTGCCCTCTGAACCAAAGCACTGTTTATTGTTCACGATGGCTTCCACGGACTGTAGTATACACCACAGCCCGTGTTAGCCTCTGTATAAAAAACACCAAAAACATATATTTTATTTTCTTTAAAGTTAAGTCTATTTTTTATTTTTTATTACGTCGCCCTTCCTAATGATAGATTAGGTGACGACATTCTTAAGGCAAGGCGACACGTTATACTTACACAAGGGAAGTCTAAGTATCCGTTAGTGCGTCATTTTATGTGATTAGTTTATTAAATATTTTCTGTTGTTTGACTTACCAGGTACTATGGGGCCTCGAAGAAAGACCGCCGCTCCACATCCCTTACCATCTCCTTCTCCAATGCAAAGTGATAACGTATCAGAGTCTATTAGCTCATAGGTACAAGTCAATACTACAATCGAGGAGTACTCTCCTCGAGCTACTAGATCACGGACGATGAGAGCCATTCTTCAGGACACTCATTCCCAGTCTGAAGAGGAAGGTAATGAATTCGGGAGTGGTGAGGAATCTGGTAGTGGTTTCGAAAGCGGTGAAGCATCTGGTAGCGATTCTGGAAGCAGTGAGGAGTCTGCAGGAGGTTTTCAGGATAATGCAATTGTACCTCCACCGGAGGTAGGAGAGGAACCTGAAATAAGAGCACATGAAGAGGCATGTGATGAAGAGGTGGATGATGATGACAACACCTAGGCCGGAATGATCCAATATGTTTACCTACATGAACCTAACCATGTGGTGAGACCGTAGCTCATTAATTGCTACCGTTCTATGTGGACTGTGGACAGGTCGGAGGACTTTTTCATGAATGGGATTATGTCCAAGTCGGGCAAATTTAGTAGTCGGCCAGTCATACCGGAGGCTAGAGTAGTGGTATCGGATATCCAAGCATTTCCAGATATCCACAGAACTTTCCAAGGGCATCACGTCGGATGGATTAACAACTCTCATGGGGAGTTCTCTCTCCACATCACCCGTGAATTTTATTCCTCCTATGCAACAACTCTGATGAATTTTGTTGCATATAGTGAAACTACAAAGAGGGACTATACGGAGTTTGCCAGTACATGGGGACCACTGAATTCTATAGTGGCGAGGGGCACACTTGTTGACATATCGGAGGCCACAATCAACAGGATGTTACATGGTCCAACTTACACACCACCAACCTCAGTCGGCCTTTTCAAAGGTAAGAAAAATACAATCACGAGTGAGTCTGAGATGGAGGACCCGACTTCGAGAGATCAAATCATGAGTTGGATTGCAAGGGTAATTGCTTCAGAGGGTAAGAATGTCACTTGGGTCACGGGGTCACAGGTGCATATTACTAAGGCCTCACTGTCATTTCCGACCAAGGTTTAGTGGGTGTTGTCTATGCACAGTTGCGGCCTACCGCTAATGATAACACTTTTCACCATCACTTGCATCATTGGTAGCTTGCCTCATGGCTAGTTACTTGGTAAATGTGGGCCGGATCATCGCAACGGAAATGCAGGATAGAGCACTAAATGAGAGAGCCAGTCTTCCATTTCCCTGTCTGATAGGGAAACTGTGTCTTCAAGCAAACATCCCTCCGAATAAGCTAGTAGACAGATGGGCTGAGGCTTACAAGCTCACTACGGCATCCAAAATCAAAGATGTCGCCAACCATCACTTTGGTGCGAAGGTCAGAGCAGTGGAACCACTGGCAGTCGTACCCCATGTACTAGTCAATATTCCACACGCTGATAGAGGTCCGGAACAGGGTGAATCATTACAGCCATCTACAGGAGCACCACCACCACCAACTTTAGCCTCACAGGCTACATGTACTTGCATCACTATCCCTACCTCACTATTTGAGAGATTGGTTGTAGATCAGCGGTAGACCATGGCAATATTCGACCAGATTGTGATTAGACTACCTCAGGTAGTTCAGTGAGATATGTTATCTACAGAGAAGTGGGTAAATGATGAGATGCAGACAGAATTGGCACTACTCAAAGATAGAATGGATGGCCTTGAGGTCCATGTGTAGAATCAGTTACAGGCTGCCGGTTCAGTGAATGCGAAGGAGTTGAAGGTACAGTTGGCGGAAATGAGAGCTGAGATTACTAAACTGGCTGAGAAGCCAGTCACTGTGCCTCCCTCTGTTGTCCCAGAATCTATAATGAGTCTTTTCACTGAGTCCTCTCCCACTCAGGGCCTTGATGAATTCTGGGGCGAACTACCCAAAATCAAATATGGCAAGAGATATCACAGTGCCATGGAGTCTGATGAGGAGCAGCCACAAGACCTCTCTAAGGAAGAAAGGAAACAAAACAAGAAGGCACATAAAGATTTGATGAGTTTGAGATTTTGACTCATTTAGGGATTTATTTTGATAGTTTAAGTGTCGTCAAATGCCTAATTTATGCTCTAAACTGATGAGGAAGTGATGATTAGAAGTTCTGAAGGCTAAAGATCAAGGCAACGACACTACCGGGAAAAAAAGAGCAAACAAGCTAAAGAAGTGAAAAAAAGCGATCGTGGTAATGGCCTATACCACTCGATGAACTGCCGAGTGGCTCTTTAGCTTGGCCAAAGTTCCAGTGTGCTAGCCCTGGTGAAGAACCGACTTGGCGATAAAAATGGGTAGTCGGCTGATCGCCAAAAGACTCTCTGATGGCAACCTCAATCGCCTAAAGACACTAAATCCTGAAGACAAATTGCCAATGCAAACCGGCGATGGATTGGAGCAAAGGGCTAGTTCGGTGAGACGCGACTTACTTCGCCCAATGGTTTTTCAGGCCAAAAATTGGGCAACTATAAATTGAAATTTTAAATGAAACTTCTAGAGGCTGGAACAATTCTGATTCCATAAGTTCGAGATTTTGAGTATTTCTCTGAGTTTTTGAGTTTCCATTGTAGACTTTGAAGCTTTTCAAGCTTAAACTTAAGGATTTGCAAGTGGGTTTTGGAATTTACTCAATTTAGACCATTGCAAAGACTTGGAAGCTTTTACCCAGCTCATGGCTAATATAGTTGGTAACTGTTTCTCTTTTTTACATTGTGTAGCTAAAACCACAATTCTTGGGGTGTGATCATGTGATTACTTGCTTAATTAGCTATGGGTATTATTTTTTAATGATTTAAATGTTGTTTTAATGTGGGTTTGATTGATAGTTGAGTAGTAATTCATGAATTGTAGTTGCAAATACAATTTTAGCTTAGTGTTTTGGTCTTGCTCGAGAGAGAGGTTCTAAAGCCAAGGTTATCAATTGATGATTGTAGTGTGTGGGTCGTTATGGGTTCAGCTCGAGAGAGTGAATCTTGACACATCCCTACCTATCTAGCTTGAGAGAGTAGGTAATTTAAGGTTTTGGGTTGATTTGTAGTGTCAAGCTTGTCGAGGTTCTAGAGAACTCGCCTGAACCGTAATAGTTGTTCGAGAGAAAACTATTGCACTTATAGTCTATCCTACCTACAATGATTCAACAAATTATTATTAAATTTCAATTACCCATATAGCGTAATTAGCTTATAATCCATCACATCCCTAAAATTCCTCTTAATCTTGTTGAAACCCCTGCTTTCGTATTTGTTGTAGTTATTAATTGAAAAATCAAATCCCCCATCTGACATTTGTTGTCACCCCTTGCAATTTAACTAGAT